TATATATATAAATGCATATACATGTATAGTCCACTTCAAAAGCAAATTTTAATGGTTCCACAAATCGGTCGGCCACTATATCTCATGCTAAATCTAACCCACTTTTATAAAACGATTGCAAAATTTCATTACACATCCATGCTGATGCTGCTCCTGCCTCCTGCTCTTGCTCCTCTTCCAGTAACACATTTTCTTTTACCGATTTCATCTGCTTACCATCCCTTCTTCTATCCTGCCAAAGTATCTGATCTACTTTTCCCAATTTTTTGGATCTGATAACCGAAAGAAATTACTTGAAGTCAATGAACTGAATAAAGAATTTTTTAAGTCTAAGAACGACTTTGTACGCCTTTAAAAAACCACCACTAAAAGTTTAAGAAATTAGCATAGAATAGTGCTGAGATAGTAATATACTAAATGGTGCATAACGTACCATTTCATATCATATCATCTCTGCTCATCAGTGGAAAATATGGCACAATTACTCAGGTTAAGTTTCTTGTTAGCCAAAGATTTTCAAAATTTTTAAAAGCAACAGAGTTACACGGATTGCGCTAAAAAGTTAAATTTAACATTGAAATTTAAAAAATGATGTTGGGAGTAAAAGCACGGAAAGAAAACATTAGATGTGACGGAGGGGAAGTTTGTTAAGTAAAATGAGTGGTGGAGTTTCATGGTCAGCGCGTGTTTTCCATGCTTTTTATTTTTTGATTCATGCTTTTGAACATATTTTAGCATATCATTGTGCTACTATTGAAATACAGTTGCATACTTTTCTGCACTCTAATTACTGTCAGCAAAGTTGAGTAAAGAAGATAAGTGTAATTTCAGGCAATATTAGAATTAAGAGAGAATGAGGTTAGAGCAAGTAAACCGAAGGATGGGTACTGTAGCTTTTCCTATGCAAGCTTCTAATGTTTACCTTACCGTAAGCCGGCAATAATGCAATAATGTAGTGATTTGCAATCTAAGCCAAAAGGAATTAGCACGTGAAGGGAGTGAGAGGCGTAGATCTGTCCATAGTGACATTCCTGTCCTTTGTCAGATCCTGTCATTCTCTCTGACAGACTTTCTTCAACCTAGCTATTGTCTCTTTGCGTCTGAATATCTTTAGCTATTCCTTTAACTCTTCAGCTTCTGACACCTCCTGCTCCTTTCGCTATTTTCAGTTTCTGTTACCAAAAACATCTAAAGTTGAAAATATGTCTTCCTGCATCTCTATTTCTCTTTTTCTTTGTGTCGCTCTGTTGTCTATTATCACAATTCACCACCTTCGGCGTGTGCCCTTGCTATCCATTGATGTCGGTCTCGGTGTGCCGGTGCCGGTGTGAGAGACAGAAGGGGACAGAGAAGCGCACCGATAAGTATTACATTTAGGATGCTACGGCCTCGTTCATGTCAGCTTGTCATGCAGTTAACTATTGCCTTGTCGTTGTACTATTACGATGTATTATCAGGCATACCATTACCATTATCAGCAACAGTTAGTAATGAGCGAAATGTTCGTCCGCCATCCGCACTTTTCACGATGCGCAAACTTTTTATATCCACGTTTCATATAATGCACTCTTAAATCTTCTCATAAATTGTGATAGTAATTGTAATTATTCGTCACTTTGCTCCTTCTTTAAATATCATCATCTGTCTTTCTTGTAAAAGGAGCTGGGCTGACCAGCAGTTTTAAAACTTCTCAATCATCATTTTCGAAACATGAAAAGATTTGGAAGGAAAAATATTGCTCAATTTGAAAAGTTCCCAATTAGAAATTAAAGCACAGACGAACACATTTTAACTGAGTTACTGAAACAGAAAAGAAAGCATTGGTAAAGTTGCAGCAAATGAAACTTCCGTTATTTTTTGAAGTTTTATTTTTTAATCTAACAACGATGAAGTTGATAAAACATGAAGTTGTTCGGAGAGTCGAGATAGCATTGGAGAATATTATTTCAGATCATTGCATACAGCAGTCGATAAGTTATACCTGGATAATGTCAGATTTTTATTGATTAAGTAATTAGAGTTCTCAAAAATTGGATTAAGGCTAGATTCTTAAGATTCAAGTTAAAATTTAATATAATTGGAATCTAGAATTTTTTTGACAAGATTCACTTAAAATTTAAATACCAATGCTAGAATAATATTTAATCTTTCAAAAAATCTGGCTGAAAATTTTATTTGAAGCAAGAAATCTTTACCTATCTTTCATTTCTGCTTTTCGACAATGCCACCATTTGAAGGATGTTGCTGTTCATTACCGGTATGGAAAACTTCAGTTGTTTTACTGCCGATTAAGTGTAGAAAATAAAAAAGAAAAATGCTGAATACTTTAGTATCCATAACGATAATAGCAGTGGAATATTGTATGAGAAGAGATGGATGGGTTAATGATGAGCAGCTAGGAGATCATTCATACTAAATGTTTGTTTCATGAGCATTTACATACTGAGCAACTGGGAAGAGAAACTGAATATCACTTCATATGACCATTGTGAATGCTCTATAATCCTATAAACCGCTTATAGTTTCCTTTAGGAATCAATTATTTGTGGCGGTGTTATAATCCCCGAATGTCTGGATAATTGATAGAAGAATCTTGCTTCTCCTCTGTCAATTCACCTTTGCATTTTAAGAATCATTTGGAAGATGATAGTGAAGATGAACACATCTATAAGCATGTTTGCTACCGTGCTAGTGTTTATAATTTTTCTTCGACGTTCTAAGTGCTTTGTGAAATTTCATTTTATGTTATACAATCAATGCAATTCTGTAATACGTACTTGTCTGCTTGACATATTTTATTAGTAACTGAAATGTTTGGTCCATTAACAATCTCCAAGCACAAACTTTGTAAGTTACATTAACACGGAATATACGGATTACTAAAATTTTTCCCGAAATAACTAAAAATTCAACGTACTTCCAGGATTACATTGCTTATTTTTAATCGACGATATGTTTCCATTCCATTACTTCCTGTATTATTCCTTTCACTACACTATTCTACTTTTCTGCTTTATTTTGAAATGGTCACAGCTAGGTTGTTACTTTCATCTTCTATCAGTGACAATTTTAACTATTATTAAATTTCCAGGCAAACTTATTTCAATCTGTAGTAATAGGGTGATTTATTTTAACCAAACTGCAATATAGTATTTCGTTTTTAAAATGGCTTTACATGAACTAAATGGTTACAGTAAGGTAGTTATGTTACTGTGCTGTTAAGTAGGCATAACTCTCTCGGAAAAAGTAGCAGCAACGGTTCGGTTCATTTTTCGCCCTTGTTCACCGTCGTCCCTGAAAATTGGAGCCTTTGTAGTGCCGTAGTGACAATGTCAACCCCTCTTCCCTCCTTGCTGCCTCCTACCGCCTGCTACACCCCACTTCTACTTGCTTATCTGACAGTACTCACCGCACATATGCGTCTCAACGGCGCAGAGAAAAGATTGTTTTTGCTTGATGCTCAACTCTTAACTGCTTTCATCAGTTCCTCTCAACCCATCTCATACCTTTCGAATTATGAAAAGATCCGATGACATGAATTCATTCCTATGCAATTTATCTGTTGATATGGATTCACTTCTAGTCATTCCTACATTCATGACCTGGTTATTTCTGGATAGATAAGTCATCGAGAATTCCTTTTTATCGATCCAGATATCTGCAAGAAATTGATATTAAATTCATATTACCAGGTTATTGAAAAAAGAAAATCAAAAGCTAGTTTATTGGACTTACATAACCATCTCAATAAAGAAGTGTAAACAAAGGTAAACCAAAAAGCCTGATGAAATCCGTGTGCAATAGCCAATTGAGACTAGTTTTCGAGACTAGTTTTTCAGCATGCTGAAAGGAATCAATGAAATTATTTCAATATCCTTATTGAAGATAATGAAGCTTCATGAGAAGACTGCTAAGATAGATCCAATAGATTCAGTAAAATCTATCGGACTAATTTTGATAGCACACTCATAAATATATTACAATTGTTTCAATTTCTTCACCTGCCAGTGGAAAAACTTTTCATGTAGAAAGTGTTATAATGTGCTTATTTCATTTTAGCAGTTTCAATTCAATGCGAGATGCCCTTATTTTCATCATTACTTTGTTTTGCATTTCGTTGGAAATGATATTATCAACAAATAAAGTGTTGCTAGAATCATATGCAAAGTATAGATTTCGAAACTGATATTAACAATTTCACAAAGATAGCTTCAGCAAATCAACATAATACTAACAAATTTGTTGCTAATGAACTCTCTCAACTGCTAACTGCCTCACAACAAACTTATTGATACTTTTTCTCTCTCTCTCTCTCTCTCTCGGATATTGGTATAATCCTCTCCGACGGATAAGCTTACAGAGTAGCTCCAGTTATACAAAAACTGTTTCTATCACTGAAGTCTTCATGCTACCTGCTGCATCCATCGCATTATTAACAACAATGCTTCCTGTCTCCAGCTCAAGGTCACAGTTTTGCTGCTATAATGCACAATGATACGACCACATTCACACTCACATGAACATACATACATATGCATACATACACATTATATATATATATACGACATTCACATATATATATAATATATAATAATGTATAT